ATCATGTCAAACATCGATAATGACTCTAAAGAAACTGATCTGTCTCCTAAAGATCGTATCATCATTGTAGCTAATGAATTACCAATCCGAGCTCAGAGAAGGCTAGAGGGTAGTGGTAGTAGTACTAGTACTTGTTGTAGCAAAGGTTGGAACTTTTCTTGGGATGAGAATTCACTTCTTCTTCAATTGAAAGATGGGTTAGGAGATGAAGCTATTGAAGTTATCTATGTTGGTTGTTTGAAAGAAGAGATTCCTCTTAATGAGCAAGAAGAAGTGTATCAGGTTCTTCTTGAGAGTTTTAAGTGTGTGCCTACGTTCTTGCCTTTGGATTTGTATACTAGATACTACCATGGATTCTGTAAGCAACAGCTTTGGCCTTTGTTTCATTACATGTTGCCACTTTCTCCTGATCTTGGAGGTAGGTTTGATAGGGCTTTGTGGCAAGCTTATGTCTCTGTGAACAAGATTTTTGCTGATAGGATTATGGAGGTGATTAATCCTGAGGATGATTTTGTGTGGATACATGATTATCATTTGATGGTTTTGCCTACTTTCTTGAGGAAGAGGTTTAATAGGGTGAAGCTTGGTTTCTTCCTTCATAGTCCGTTTCCATCGTCTGAGATTTACAAAACTCTGCCTATTCGTGAGGAGCTTCTTCGGGCTTTGCTAAACTCGGATTTGATAGGGTTCCATACTTTTGACTACGCAAGGCATTTCTTGTCTTGTTGTAGTCGAATGCTCGGTCTTACTTATGAATCTAAGAGAGGATACATTGGACTTGAGTATTACGGTAGAACCGTGAGTATCAAAATTCTACCTGTGGGAATTCATATGGGTCAGCTTCAGTCCGTTCTGAGCTTACCCGAGACTGAAAGGAAAGTCGGGGAGCTCATTGAGCGGTATGGTCGAAAGGGCAGGACAATGCTGCTCGGTGTAGATGACATGGACATTTTCAAAGGGATTACTTTAAAGCTGTTGGCTATGGAGCAGCTGCTTATGCAGCATCCTGAATGGCAAGGGAAGGTTGTGTTGGTGCAGATAGCTAATCCGGCGAGAGGGAAAGGAAAAGATGTTAAAGAGATGCAAGCTGAGACGTATTCAACTGTTAAGCGGATTAATGAGACGTTTGGGAGACCCGGATACGATCCTATAGTATTGATCGATGCACCGTTGAAGTTCTATGAAAGGGTTGCTTATTACGTAGTAGCTGAGTGTTGTTTGGTGACAGCGGTTAGGGATGGAATGAATCTTATACCTTACGAATACATAGTTTCCCGTCAAGGAAATGAGAAGCTGGACAAAATTTTAAAGCTGGAGCCGAATAATCATAACAAGAAAAGCATGCTGGTGGTTTCTGAGTTTATTGGTTGCTCTCCATCGCTAAGCGGAGCCATTCGTGTTAATCCCTGGAATGTTGATGCAGTAGCTGATGCAATGGATAGTGCCCTTGAAGTGGCTGAACCGGAGAAGCAGCTAAGACATGAGAAGCATTACAAGTATGTAAGTACACATGATGTTGGCTATTGGGCTCGTAGCTTCCTCCAAGATCTTGAGAGGAGTTGTGGTGAACATGGACGAAGGAGGTGTTGGGGAATTGGATTTGGTCTCAGTTTCAGAGTTGTGGCACTAGACCAGAGCTTCAGGAAGCTGTCAATGGAACACATAGTATCAGCTTATAAGAGAACAAAGACACGGGCTATTCTTTTGGACTATGATGATACTTTAATGCCACAGGGATCTATCGATAAAAGACCTTCGTCAAAGTCAATCGACATATTGAACACCTTGTGTAGGGACAAGGGCAATCTGGTGTTCATTGTTAGCGCCAAAAGCCGAGAAACTCTATCGGACTGGTTTAGTCCTTGTGAGAAGCTTGGAATTGCTGCGGAACATGGCTATTTTCTGAGGTAATCAACCAAAATTTTTTATTCCCCAGCATTACCCTTATATCTTATAACTCAAGCTCTATCTGACTACTACACAGGCTAAGGAAGGCAGTAGAATGGGAAAACTGTGTGGCAGCAGCAGATTGTTCTTGGAAACAAATTGCAGAGCCTGTGATGGAACTTTACACTGAGACAACCGACGGATCAACAATTGAAGACAAGGAGACTGCTCTTGTTTGGAGTTATGAAGATGCTGACCCTGATTTTGGTTCATGTCAAGCTAAGGAACTTCTAGATCATCTTGAAAGTGTCCTTGCCAATGAACCTGTAACAGTCAAGCGAGGACAAAACTATGTTGAGGTCAAGCCGCAGGTCTGTGTTTCTGTTCAATTCCCCACAAAACCTTGGCATATGTTTCCATTTGTAGAGTCTTTCTTATTTCTTGTTGTCGTAATGCAGGGTGTGAGCAAGGGACTTATAGCCAGAAGGATGCTTTCGATGATGCAAGAAAGAGGAACACTTCCTGAGTTTGTTCTATGTATTGGAGATGACCGGTCTGATGAAGACATGTTTGAGGTGATATGCAGTTCCACTGAAGGCCCTTCGATTGCCCCAAGAGCTGAGATTTTCGCTTGTACTGTCGGTCAAAAGCCTAGCAAGGCCAAGTATTACCTGGATGACACTACTGAGATTGTCAGGTTAATGCATGGTTTAGCTTCTGTTACAGACCAGATCACTCCTGTTTAAAAAGTCACGGAAAAGTATCAGAGACTAGAAATCTCTCAAGTTTGTATATTTTACCACGGAAAATTGTAACAAAGAGAGATACTGAGTGAGAATGTAATTTTCCTTCATTGACAATCTTAGAATATATGAACAAGGCTTTATATCATACAAATTGTTCAGGTTCCCTCAATAGATTTCTTCTTGTTAACCTCTGACATTAGTCTAAGAAACGAAACTAGTTTCTTCTTTGCTTTAGCCACTTCATCTTGAGATTGAACATATTCAGCTGAAGCACAAGTAATAGCACAGAGAGAGCAGTAAAAATTTCCAGCATCATCGTAAGCAGGTGGTGAATCCAAACATTTCTGATGAACCAGGACTTGGCAGCCATCACTAGAGCAAAACAACAGCTTCCCACTTTCTTTGCATTTAACACATGTGTATATCTTCTCTGCAAGACTTGACAAATGACCATCTTTTTCATATCGATATCCCTCGTTTCTTCTTTGGAGCAACTCATGGGATCTACTAATCTCATCAGCCCCACGAGAAAATGATTGTCCGTCTTCTGTTCTCCCCGTAAGATCAGTCTCTTTGCCATCACTTCTCAGAGTCTCTTCCTCATTACAAGGAGACATTTCAGTATCATTCTCAGAGGAAGATGGTTCAATCATCTGATAAAACAAAAGAAAACAAACATAAACCTTAAAAGCCTTATAGTGCTCTCATCTAAAAGGAACTTCAAAGCAAGCCTAATACCAGTTCCAAAACACATTTTGGTAGACAAAGAAGCTTGCTTTTGATAAAGGGTTGAAGATTCCACTTCGATAATCCCGGTGCACCCGGTTTCAGTTCCGATAAAGGTATCTAGAAAACAAAGAACCAAGCAATCTAAGCAGACCTAATCAAGAAACCACATTGAAAAGGAAATGCAAGATTAATCATCTGTACTAGTACCTCATCCAAGATACATTGAAGTACATATTCACAGCTCTCAGACGAATCAAACTCGATCTTTGAGTCAGCTTCAGAAACAAGATCAGAAGCAAACAAAGAAGCTAAGCATCTGAAAGCTACCATCTCATTGGTATATTCACCCAAATAATCTGGAAGCTTAGGAGCCATTTCAAACACATCTGCAATAAATAGAAAACAAAATCAAAAAGAAATCGAAAATTTATTTCTGAAAAATCAAAGAAGCTTTTCAATTACCATTTAACATCCAAAGCTCAGTTTTGAATTTCGCAAAGTACTCAATAACCCAAATCCAGTTATCAAGGTCTAAATTCCCAGTCACAAAGCGATCACATAAACTGTCTGACTTCAGAGGCTCCATCATCGACAGTCGACACGAAGAAAGTAGAGCTGTTGACAGAGACGGAATCAAATCAGTAGTCTTCAGATTCGTGAAGAGAACCAAAAAGGAAGCACTGGAGAAATTTCATCAATATAACCGGAAAGATCCAAGGCCCAAGCCCAATCCCAGGCCCATAACTTTAATATGCTTATCTAAAAGGCCCAGTAAATCTAATATAATTATTTGTGTATTCGGTTATTTCAGGAAAATTTTATATGATGTTCTATTATAATTATTTGTGTAAGAATCAAGAAACCACATTGAGGGAGATATAAACAAACGGATTATGTTTATTATCATATATTTTGGCATCTTTTGATTAATTCTTGGATATATTAGTACAGAGCATCTCCTTTGGAGACGAATGGGCATATATCCCATGATTTAACCTATGATTTAATTATTAGTTTGATGCCCCTACGATTACGTAGTTTTCTCACGCAAGACCTATAATTAGTTCAATAATATTAACTTTTTTAAAAGAAAATAGTATATTTATTGTAGTCTTACATAATGTATTAGGACCACTGTAATAATAATCACTGATAATTCAGTATTAGCTTCTCTATTTAATTTAAAACATATGTAGTAGTAGTAGTTCATTGAATGTGGATATGGGATTGTCTGAGCTCAGTGAATGAAACCAATGAATTTGTTGACAAAAATAACTAGTGTACTATATTGATTTGTAAAAAATTTATTGGTTTAAAAACATATACTATAGTTGCACCAAAAAGAAAAAATAAAAACTATGAATTCCACTCCATTGATGATTCTCCCTAGCTAGTAGAGTAGTAGCTAGTCTATGACTTATACTAATAAGATTCTTATTTATTAGAAAATTGGCCACCTTAAGTGATTGGAAGAACAAATTTATTGATTTACAATAAAATTGTCCTTTGTTTTAAAACAAGCACAATGGATGCAAATTCTTGTATTAATTTTCTTGCTTTTATACGCATATAATCGCGTGTGTGTGTGTGTTGTAGTTCAATTCAAGAGGGTTTCAATTATTGTTAAAGTAAATATAATATTAAGCAATACGTGTTAGGTGCATGGCCTATATAAATGATAGGCGACATAGCCAAAGTATAGAAGAAAATCACAAAAGTATAATGGGGAAAGTGGAGATTGTTCTTAATTCACTTCCTATGAGTGGAGGAGATGGTCCGAACAGCTACTCTAAGAATTCTCATTTGCAGGTCTATCTTTAGAGCTTTTCTTTTTAATCTTTATTTTCTTCTTCTCCTATTTTATGCCTTTTTCACTGGTTGCCAATTGGTAACGCTACGAATTTTTAGCAGTTTGAAAAAACGGTGTAAGATTATAAAATAGTCGAAAGAGATAAGAGATAGTGATAGAAAAGCGGTATGCATTTATAGAACAATTACAAAATAGTTGATAAATGTTCTAAATGCTAAAGAAAAATAAAGGGAACCATGTTCTTATATATGAGTAAATATTATAGTTGAAACTTTTCAGATTTATCATATTTTGGTTTTGATTTTCTTTAGTTGTTATAGTGTCATTAAAATGAGTTGAAACTGAGGGTTTATGATGATTTTGTAAGACAATATATATATATATATATATATATGTCAAAAATTAACAAACCTTGTTTAGTATTTTTCAAAGAGACAATTTAAGAATATGATCAGGTGATTTTTGAATACACATGTTACTTGGCTGGCTTTTCGGATCAACTGGAAGCCCCATGACTTCATTTTTATCATCTCTTATATATATATGACCTTTTTTTAGTCAAAACTTGGTTCCTTGTTATTATGTACTTAAAAAAAAAAAAGGAAACTTCAATAACGATATTAAAATGTTCAGAACTCATCGAGCCACACAAAAAAAAAACACCAAAGATCATTAAGCGGCTTCATTGTCTTACGAAAAGCTGAATCATAATATTGAAGCTAAATCTAGCAGGGATTGAAGGGAGTCAAGGGACTATTTCAGTTTTACTCAATCTAGGTTCTTAAAGAGTTAAAGTATAAAATTTATGTTTTTTTCTTTTTCTTTTTTAATATGGTTTGGATCTCATCTCATATATAGACATAGTGCATCAAAATTACTTTTACGTTAATATCTTGGAAATATTTGGGTTACTTCGTTTCATATGGTTTGTTCGGTCATAAAAGTATAAAATTAATTTTAAAAAAGTTTTTGATTTTTTATATAGTATAAGCTTTTGACTGATTTTGGTGTGAACAGAGAAGAACAACAAGTTTGGTGAAAGAGACAATAGACAAATTGATATTAGAGAAACTCAATGCAAAAACCCTAATCTCTGACTCCAACACATTCCACATAGCCGATCTTGGTTGTGCAACAGGACCAAACACATTCTTTCTCGTTGACGACATCATCAAATCCGTTGAAACCAGCTTAAGAAAATCAAACTCCTCAAAACCAGAGTTTCTTGTCTTCTTCAACGACCTCCCACAAAACGACTTCAACACTCTCTTCACATCTCTCCCTCAAGACCGGAGTTACTTCGCGGTCGGGGTCCCGGGTTCGTTCTATGGCCGTGTTCTTCCTCAATCCTCCGTTCATATGGTAGTGACAGTTGGGGCCACACATTGGCTATCGAGTGTTCCGAAGGAGGTGTTGGACAAACCCTCCAAGGCGTGGAATAAAGGCAAGGTTCACTACTCAAATGCCGCGGAGGAAGTTGTGAAGGCTTATAGGGATCAGTTTGGTCGGGACATGGAGAAGTTTCTAGAAGCTAGAGCTAAAGAAATAGTAAGTGGAGGTCTTTTGGTTGTTGGAATGTGTGGGATACCTAAAGGAATGCCTTTCTCCAATCTTGCCGACAGTATCATGTATACGTCCATGGCTGATGTTCTCACTCAAATGCAATCCCAGGTAGTTCTTCATATTCTCTAAAAAAATAATCTGAAACATGTAGAAACTCAAACTCTCTTCAAATGAGATACATTTGATAATGTTAAGGTAGTAACATATTATAGACACATCACTTGTTTACTTTTACTTATGGGTTTTTTGAGTTTAGTGAGATTGGCATGTAGGGTTTGATCAGCGAAGAGCAAGTCGATACCTTTAACATACCTATATACTCGGCATCGCCTGAGGAGGTAACAGTCTTGGTCGAGAAAAATGGATGCTTCACTGTCGCATCGATGGAGCTGATGAACCCCACGGCCTGGCTCAAACGGCCAATGAACGTGGAGGATGTTAGGCATTGGATGGTTTGCATAAAGGCCACAATGGGATCTCTCTTCATCAACCATTTCGGTGAACATCTCCTTGACGAAATCTTCGACCGTCTCACCGCAAAACTTGTTGGACTCACCGAGAAGATTGAATCTAGCTACCGTGAGAAGGTCATGTTGTTCTTTGCGTTGCAACGAAAATAAAATTTTATTTGGCAAGTTTTTTGTATGTGATTTTAACCAAAAAAAAAAGTTTTATGTATGTGTTTTTTTCGTTTAGTGATTTTGATCGGTTTAATCCGGGCTAGGATCAAGCCATCAAGGGTATAGTTTGTTGTGATTATTAATTACAAGGTTTTTTTGTTATTGTTATAGTATGTTTTTTACGTTACTCAGTTCGAATAAATCTCATTAATATAAGTATATTACTTTTTGAACCAAAATGATCCTTTCATGTTCATTTACACACGAAAATTCATTAAAAACTAATCAGTTTTGGGTAAAATTCATTTAGAAAGAATCTGTCGCAAAATTTGTCCATACGAAATTGATGTATAATATTCATACATTGGGTAATCTCGACGTAGTTAGTTAATCGATCGAAATACTCTTATCATCTAGAGAGTTGTACAGTACTGTATACCTATCGTAATCTCAACATGTTGTCGACCTATATATCGTAATTAGAATAATGTGTTTGTATAAGTTGTTGTAATGCCAACAAAATATAGTAAGTGGTCCCATAGCAAGAAAAAAAGAGTAGGTGGTCCACAATATATTTTTAGTTGACTATATTAGTCTAGTAAACATCTACAAAAATTAATATATGCAAGTAAAACCAGAAATAAAGGAGAATAATTATGCATCATATTTGATTAAACAAATAGTAAAAGTGTTAATAACGCTGAGAGTGAAGAGATAAATGGCTGTTGGGTGAAATATAAAGACAATTGTTGTTCGAAAATTATAAGTATTAGGTGAATATCCGACAAGCGGGCTTTTGCTTTAATTTTATAAAAATTAATGTTAAATATTTTTATTAATTAATTTTGTGTTTATTAGTGGTATAAATATTCACTTTTTATATATAGTATTTTTTAATAAAATATATGTTACCATCTAGAAGTCCGATTTGATGATAACTTCGACATCGTCGGGTAATCAGATGTTTATGTGACTCCAACATAAACAATGGTTGAGTTTTGTTTTACTAAGAAATTTTCTTTTTTCTTTTCTTTAGTTTTGCTTTGCTTGTTTATCCTATCTAGTGTTTATAATTGTAGTTGATTAGAGAAAAAACGTACTTCATCCGTTTCAAAATATAAGACGTTTTAGTTAAAAGCACGCAGATTAAGAAATATCCACTTTTAAAAAGTTCAACCAATCATAAATGAGATTGCATAATATAAATAATCAGAAAATATTAAATTAATATATAATTTGCATAAAAACTTGAAAACGTCTTACATTTTAAAACAAAAATAATACCTTAAAACGTCGTACATTTTGAAACGGAGGGAGTATATGATAACGAAAAGAGCCAATGAAGATGAAGATGAAGATGAAGCGAATGATTTTTTCAGCGATCCATTCATGGACGCGTGACACTCTCAGGTGTGCTGACGTGAAAGAACGATCGAGAGAGTTAACCAATTTTCATACATAAAATTTTTTCACTTAAGAACAATAATATTTAATTTTTGATGATTATTCATTTACTAAAGAAGTTTATATTGTCGTACTTGTAGATATGTGTCAATAGACGTAAAATGATTATCACATTGACGTTAAATAAAATTAAATTTTTTTTTGCATCAAATTTTATTAGAACTTTAAAAGATACAAAATCGGCAAAAATTAATATTTCCGAATACAAATCTCCAACAACTGCAAATGAGATTTTTATGAAAAAAAAAAAAACCTTATAATAGAAAAACTTACGAAACTGAAAATAACACAAACAATCAAAACGCCGGTAAATATAAGAATTCTTAACTGAAACATAACAAAAATCGACTTAAATTGAAACTACCATCTAGTTGTAACTGATGACTCACACCAAACCTATGGTTGTTTTGGTGAATGATTATATTCCGAATGTAAACTAAAAACATATACCTTGCTTTTAATAGATTTTATTTTGAAAGACACCATTTCAAGTTTTCAACTATTAATAGGAGTGACTAAATAATTATATTTTGGGATAATCGGTCCTCGACCTAAACCAATAGGACAACTCCTCCTCAATCAAAAATCAGTAGACCACAACTATTTAGTTAAAACAGCATTTTGCACCAATTATAAAGTAAAAACATATATTTATTTCTATTTGACTTTTATATAAGAATAAACATGTGAATGCCAGATAATTAGACTAATGAAGCTGTGAGGATCATTATATATCCTAGCCTCATAGGCCTATTACACTTATTATTTGGGGTCAACTTTGGGTTGTTTGACTAACAAATATGTATGCATCTATTTAAACAATTATTTACATTCACTTATCTTCTTGCAATGTGATTTGTCCCTTTTAAGGAATCTTGTCCCCCATATAAATCGAGTCGGACAAGAGAATAAAATAAGAATTAGTCAAAATTTTAAAACAATACTAATATATAAACGTATTTCCATATGACTGTATATTAAAAATTACTATATTTGATATATTCTTATTGTTTATTTTTAAAATCATACCATATCTCTCTAGTTTTTTTGTTTAGTTGATAATCTCGATCGAGTTTAATACTAAACTGAAAGTGAAAATGAAATATGATGTGTCAAGTTGGATATCTAATCCCACAAAATCAAAAGATTTGAACTAAAAGAGTTCACGCAGCAAATTTGTTTTTCTTTGCTGACGTTTTATTGATTAATTAGTTAATTAAACCTGGAAAAAAAAAATCGGAGGTAAATAGTTTATAGGGTGATTTAGGTGAATAACCAAAAAAAAAAAGTTAGTTTTTTAGAAAGAAGGTAGAGAGAGATAGGAAGAGAAAGAGAGTGAATAGAGGGGTTAGAGGTTAGATATTTAATTTTGTTTTTTTTTAGGTTATCTAGTGCAATTTCTCTAGTTTATATCCTCAAGGGGAGGTCTTTTTTTTTTTTTTTCATCACAAGGGGAGGTGTTATATGGGGTTCTTTAGAATTTATGGATCAAAAATAAATATAAATGGACTATTATCTAAAGAAACGAGTCTTAAATGAGAGGCTAAAGAGCCCATAAAAGTTGGTGTCGTGGCACTTTGTATCTATAACTGACGTGTGAGCTTACATAATTTTCGAATCAGGAAGTGAGCTTAGATTCTAGGGCTGTGTTACGTGATTGTACCATCTCTGCTTCGTGTTAATTAAAGACTTAAAAGTCATATTTTAATTAGTTGTATTAACTCATAAATATTATTAACATGTGGAAACCCTAATTCTCATGAAACTGCTCACGTTAAAGCACATGCAGTACACCAACCATTTATGTTGTTTTGCTTAGCACGATTTTGTATCATTCCTAACTCAAAACTTCGAACATAACAAAAAAAAAAGTTCGTTATCACTTTACTAAAACAAAGTTCTGATTTTTAGAAATATTCGAAATATTTTGTAGAAAAATGTATATTTTAATTTGATAATTTGGATATGGCAAATCATACTTGGATCTATATTGATGTTACATTTCAGATGATTAGTTGAGATATCATCACAACTAAGCTATTGCTCGCTCTATTTCGTCATTAACTAATTCATAACTTAACTTACACAAATCAAGATGATGACAATCATGAAACTATTTAAAAAGAAAAAGACCAGACCAGCCAATGTTGGACTAGGATTAATGGCTATTATTCTAGTGACAGGGTGCGATTACCATTGTTTTCGAATATGTCTCTTTGTCTTCGCCATGAACCAAGCTCCAAGCGGTCCCAAAAGTATTGGCAATAATACATAGTGGCCCAATATTTTTAATTAACTATTATTTTCACTGAATTTATATTATCCAAAAATGTTGTTTTTCATCAATATAAAAAATTGTAGGTTTTTTGTAAACCAAACGTTGATATCTTTTCGATTGTTAGTGTTCGTTCAATAAGCTCAAGTTTGGATTCATCAACATAACAAAAATCAGAACTTTTTTTAGTGAAGTGATAACGAATGTAACTAATTATTGATGTCGTGTGAATCCGATAATCTAAATCTTGAAGTAGCTAGTGAAACATCACATGATATGATGGTGTGGTAACTTTCCGACGTTTGAACGAATTGAATTGTCAATGCATACTGTATAAGTAAAGATGTCGTGATATTACCAATTGTCAATAACTCAACTAGTACAGATTCTTAGGCAAAGTTTAGAAGTCACCGGTTCAAATGGCACTTAGGAAAGAACCATATAAAATGCTTTGATCTCTAACCTAAGGAAATGTACGGATACAGCGCAGAACTTCTGAGTAATTAAAAAAAAAAGCCATGATATTAGACTAAAAGTTTTATTCAAAATTTATCTTAAAGACTATGCTACTTGTACTCCTCTACTATTACCTACACAAGTTGAGTTTTCGTGAGGCTTTGAGGGCTGGCTATTTAATATGGGCCTGGATCTTGCCTTTTAACACTTGCTCTATCATTTGTTTGTTTATAACTCTATGGTATATATGGCCACTTAAGTTTGTTACTACCATCTGCTTTGCATCCTAAATTTTTTTAATTCCAATAGTCAACACATGAGCTTGTTGTCCATTTTATTTAGTAGACCGCTTTATATTGATTACAATATGTCGATCTTACTCTGATATATATATATTGTATGTGGTTTTAAACCAGTCATTTAAACATAAATGAGTTCATATCGTAAATCAATATGGCTAGAAGTTCTATCTATTTATTAGATTTGATGGAATAACTAATTCCCATGGCATGTTTGATTGATTCAATTTATTCACACGTCCGGTTATAGATTAGTGAAATGTTATTTATATAAAAAAAATAGTAAGATGATAAATGAATGGCATATAATTTAAACTCATACAATATAAAGTGTAGTTTCAAATTTTACTTCCCATTCTTAATTAATATGTGAAGTATTTTTAAGATTACAAGACAAATCTAAATATATATACAACACGAAACCGGTCCGATACTGACTAAATGAACAAAAAAACTAATTTCTTTAGATGTAATTTGAATTCTTAAGAGTTATATAACAGATAGAAATAATTGAACAAGGGCATTTCAATCAAAGCTCTAATGGTCTACCAGATTAAACAAAGGTATTTTTGTATTTACAAATCCAATCCTCTAGCAGTATAAATTCTTTCTTTCTAAATTTAGACGAGTAGAAATTTATAAAATTCTTTAAAGGATTTTAAATTTTAAATTTTCAAAAAATTATAATCTATATATATATATATATATATATATATAGTGGGAGAGTTCTCTCTCCATTTAGGCTATCCACATCATCATCCACATAAGCAACACTATTTATTTTACTTTAAAATAAATTTAAAATATTCATTTAATGCATATTTATATTACTTATAATTAATAAAAATTTAAATAAATAAAAAAAATTATGTAAAATATATGAGATGTTAAAATCATAAAAAAAATACTATAAATTTTTTATTAGTAGTAATAATATAATTCAAATTTTAACAGATAAAAATTAAAAATAGTTAAACTTCAAATTTTTAATTGTGTTAGTGAATTTTAGAATGGAAGTAAACTTAAATGCATGGTAGAATAAAACTAAATTTATGTAATTCTATATGTAAATTTAAATAAGAAAATAAAATTTAAAGTAAAACATTAGTTTTTAAGAATAATATACTACATATTTTTATTTATTATAAAAACATTTACATAGAAGATAAAAAATTATGAAATTCAACTTAAATTTACAATTTAAGAAGAAGATTTTATAAGAGTCACACTTTATCTTGCAAAATTATAAAAAAATCTTGAAATTTTTAAAACATTATCATCCATTTAAAAAAAATAATCAATAATTACATTATTCATGAGTTCTACAGTAAAATATAAAAAAATAATATGTAAGTCGTTAAAATAAAGAATGATATGTAATTTGTGTAGCATACTCTCAAGTGAAACCACAACTTTATTATAACATGATCAAAAGAAAAATAAGTTTGATATTTTATCAATTGAATCAAATACTTTTAACCCAAAAACTTAAGTATTGAAAGATGAAAATTAAAGAGAAAATAGTTATGATATGTCTTGAAAATCAACTCATAGTCCAATATATATTATATGTGAGTTAATAGAAGGTGAAAAGAAAGTATATTTCGAGAGGCAACGAGTTTATCATAGAAAATAACAAAATAATTGGTAGTTAAAATTGTGTAAAAATAAATTTCTAAAACTTAGAAAGATAATGCACATGACTAAGGTAAAATATTTGAGATCTAATCATTGTGTGAAACGAATAGGTTCTTAGAAAAATACATGACATACATTATTAAACATATTATTAGATTCAAAGTTGGGTTGTACCGCTTGACTATGTAATCATGAAAAGTGAGATAAAATAATACATTAATGACTTAGTTCAGAATTATCTTATGGCTCGTTCACTTGCTTTGATGGGTAAAAAAAGGTTCGCTAAAGCTGTTCTAGCAACATGATATTATAGATGTACCTTTCTAATAAATAATGTTAATGAAACTCGGTGTATTCGCATTTTATATGGAATGATGTTATGTACGAACAATCGATAATTAACATCAAAACTTTTTTAAAAATGTCTTCATGAAATATGAATAAGCAATAAACTCTTTTAGAGATAAGATAAATGATCATTAGATGGTCCTCGATGCCGTTTATTCTTCTCGCGAATTTCTTAAGTGATTTTTATTACCACGTGATATATATCAAATCATTTATTTGTCAAGGATACATTATCGTCGACAATATATATGTTATATATCAATTATTATATTTATGCTCAAATATTTATCTTTTAAATTTTAATGATTATATTTTATACTAAAAATTTATATTAATAGAAAAGTTTTTAGATTAAAATTCTGCGCAACGCGCGGGTAAAAAATCTAGTAAAAATTATGATAAGAACCTATAAATAAAAGTAGATATGCATATCATAGTTTTACCATTGGAGGTGGTCTAATGAACTAAACTACCTATATTTTTTTTCTTGATATCAAATGAATGTTTAACACAGTAAAAGTGTAGAAACACACAACAATAGAAATTTAACAAAATGTCAAATTATCTAAACTCTGCCCAAAGGCAAACGGTTACGTGAATCTGATTGGACAAATCTTAGGTTTACACCTAGGGGTGAATCCCTTTGTTCACCTCTTTTTTTATTAGCCAATAAGATTATGCCATATAAGATTGTATTTTTTTTTTTTTTTTGCCGTCTAGATTTATTATTAATTGCAAATTATGAGAACTGTTACATAGACGATTCTACAACTGACAATTCCTTCCGACCCTTACTAGATTCACGACAGACTACACTTCCTTCTTCGTAATCTTGATGAATACCTTCAATGATCCACGACCTGGCGACACTTCCTTCTCTGCGTAGAATCCTGGCGAACGGCTATAATTGTACATCGCTGGAGATCTCTTGCACACTTGCCTCCATTAATCTGCAAATTTGTTAATAAATCGCAATACCTGAGACTCGAACCCCAGACCTTTTGGTGTAGAAACATTAATCAACCCTTGGTCAACCAATGGGCCAAGAGGACTTCCACAAATATAAGATTGTATTTAAACAAAAATAGTTAACTAAAATTTAATTCAGAAAAACAAAAAATGGAAACAAAATCCTTAACACGTATTTAACGTCGTTGAACGTCAATATTTGACGTCTTCTCTTCTTTTTCTTTTAATAAAATATTTTATAAAGAGATTAGATTAGGGTTTGAAGTTATCTCTTTCTTCTATTTTTTTCAAGCCAAACACACCATTAGAAGATCGACAACCTCTTATATCAGAACCTATTATTTCTTATTAAATTTGTAGAAGATGATGCATAAGAAAATGGAGCCAATATCGATCTAAACTCTTAGAAGAAGGAAAATATATTGTTTTTAAAACATCAATAATTCGTCAGGTAAAGTTTCAGATTCTCTTAATACTAGTAAAAAAATATTTTTTAGTGGTGAACAAATAGAGACAACTAGCTATAATTGGTACATGTGTGAGTTTTTGTGTTAAATTCTTTTATGGATTATATTTTCCAGACCATCAATTTCCCTATTATTGGACTTGTTGATACACATTGAAGTCTCCGGATTTGGTGGAAGTCTCTGAATTAGCGACCTTTAGACGCAACGAAAAATCCTCGTACCACAAAACCATCAAGTAATGTTGTTGCAAAGAAAAAATTATCATTTCAGGTATTTGATATAACATTTTTCTTTTTAGTTTATATCTATTTTTCATCGAAATGTGACTTAATCTATCTATACTAATTCTTATTTAAAATTGATAAATGCTTCAGGACTCCACTCCTACTCCAGATACTCAATTATTTGGTGCTACCACCAGCTCTACCTTACATAATAGGTCATTTATTTCACAAGTGTTCCAGGTAAATACTTCATTCTTGCTTGTAATATTTGAGCTATCTATTATTGTTTTTTAATTATTTGAAATCTTATATTTTATATTTTGTAGGAATTTGACAAGAGTTATGGTGGTTCATCATAAAGCTCTGTTATTTTGCTTTGTTTTTTTTTTTTCAAAATCATATTCGAACACCGAGTCCCTTTTGCTAGATTGATTTTCTTTCTTCTCTTGTAGAATCACAAATTCAGATTCGTATCATTTTATTATTTTCTTCTAGATTGATCTTTTTGTTTTTTCTTATTATTTTATTGTTTGAGGCAACTCCAAAGAATCCAAGATGAAAACTCTCATCAAGTTCTCTCTTTATGCTCACGAAGAAGACGACTATTCTCGTAACATCTTTTTTTTTTTGGCTAAAATTCTTGTAACGTCTCTTCACGCCTTATATCATTTTTTAGAAGACTATGAATCTCTTAAGTAAAAAACGCACCATTTATGGATTTTTATCACGTGACTTTTAGCTCACAAAAACAACTTGAGATCCTTTATTACTAGTAACAATTTCTTATTGTCATGCTTTCAAATTTGCTCACATTTAAATAATTCTATAAAAAATAAATAAAGACACGTTAACGTCAAGTATTGACGCCCAACCTTAATACGTATAAAGAGTTTGTTTCCATATTTTGTTTTTCTGAATTAAATTTTAGTTAATTACTTTTGTTTAAATACAATCTTATATGGCATAATCTTATTGGCTAATACAAAAGGAGGTGAACAACGAACAATTCTTGGGTTCACCCCTGAACCACTTTCATTCACCCCCTCATAATTATCCAATTAGAATTTGCCATATCATCTAGTTAAAAAAATTAAAACAATTATTTTCTAAATAAAACAAGAAAAATATCATCTAGTTAATACAAATTAAATTTTATAATTAAATTAATTTTTTTTTATTATTAATAGGTGGCAGATTTTGATTGGATGAAATAATGGGGTGAATATAAGAGGTTCATCCCTATGGGTGAACCCAAGTATTTTTCGTGAAGAACCGAAGATTTGTCCAATCTGATTCTACATTTCTACCACTTCACAAACAAACAAAAAAATATCTTCGCTCAATCTTATAAAAAAATAAATATCTTTCCAAAGAATTATGATGACGTGGAAGAAGCCGAGTGGTTGAGTAGGTTAGATATTTTCTCGAGGATATCCCCTGGTGACGTGTTACCATCGAAAAGGCAGTTATGACTACCCTTGTATCTCCATTTAATTACGACATTGCCACAAACCTGGCGCGAGATGTTTTCTCGTCTTTCACTGTAGATTTAAAAAACGAAAAGGGTAATTTTGTCATTGAGTCTCCAACTAAGCAGAGATATTTTAAAAGGGAACAGACCCAAAAAAGAGAAAAAAAATATCAGCGAGTCAGAAGAAGAAGAAGATATTTATTTTGTAAGCGAAAATGGCGAGAAAGCATGCGACTGAATCGATCGGAGAAGTCACCGGAAAACGAAAAAAACGCGACAGAGTTGAAGAAGAAGGAGACATCTATGATGGAATCGAAAATCAAGATGTAGTAGAAGATGGGAAGCTTCCATTGGAAGTGGGGATGGTCTATTACCCAGTGACTCCTCCTTCGTTTATTGTATCCGATGCTCTGGAGCCAGATTTTCCTTTGATCTATGTTAACAAAGTCTTCGAAGTCTTCACTGGTTATCATGCCGATGAAGTTCTTGGTCGTAACTGGTATTAATTTTCTCCGATGAATTTTCTGGTTTATGTTATCAATTCTCTTGAATAATGCTGCATTTGTGGTTGAATCTGCTTGAAATGCGTCCTTGTAGCTTGATAGATGAAGAAATTTAGCATTTGGTTAGTTGGAGGAAGAAATTACTGAAGAAGATACATTGTTCATAGCTCCTTTAATCTCCATGGACTTACATAATAAGAATCTCTCTTTGTTTTTTCTTGGTTACAGTCGATTTCTACAGTACAGAGATCCTCGAGCTCAAAGGCGTCACCCATTGGTTGATCCTGTGGTTGTATCTGAGATTAGGAGATGTCTTGAAGAAGGTATTGAATTTCAAGGAGAGCTTCTTAATTTCAGAAAGGACGGTACTCCGTTGGTTAACAGACTACGACTTGCTCTAATACGTGACGATGATGGAACGGTTACACATGTAATTGGGATACAGGTCTTCTCTGAAACGACTATAGACCTTGACCGTGTTTCATATCCTGTGTTCAAACATAAACAACAGCTTGATCAGACATCTGAGTGCTTGCTTCCAGGTGGAAGCCCGAGGTTTAAGGAGCATCATGAAGATTTCTGTGGGATATTGCAGATGTCTGATGAAGTTTTGGCGCATAACATCTTATCTCGGTTAACTCCAAGGGACGTTGCTTCAATTGGTTCTGCCTGCAGGAGGTTGAGGCAGTTGACGAAAAACGAGAGCGTGAGGAAGATGGTGTGTCAGAATGCGTGGGGAAAAGAGATAACTGGAACACTGGAGATTATGACTAAGAAGCTAGGATGGGGTCGGTTAGCTAGAGAGCTCACCACTCTTGAAGCTGTCTGTTGGCGCAAATTTACTGTTGGAGGGATTGTACAACCTTCCCGCTGCAATTTCAGCGCATGTGCTGTTGGGAACCGGCTTGTGCTATTTGGTGGGGAAGGGGTTAACATGCAGCCACTGGATGATACTTTTGTTCTCAATCTTGATGCAGAGTATCCTGAGTGGCAGCGTGTGAGAGTGACTTCGTCGCCTCCAGGACGTTGGGGACACACTCTCTCGTGTCTCAACGGGTCGTGGTTGGTAGTCTTTGGAGGGTGTGGAAGACAAGGATTGCTTAATGACGTATTTGTGCTTGATCTAGACGCTAAGCATCCCACATGGAAGGAAGTAGCAGGAGGAACTCCTCCATTGCCCAGATCTTGGCACAGCTCGTGCACCATTGAAGGCTCTAAACTGGTTGTCTCAGGTGGCTGCACAGACGCTGGGGTGCTTCTCAGTGACACCTTCTTGTTGGATCTGACAACAGATAAACCGACATGGAAAGAAATCCCAACATCATGGGCTCCTCCTTCTAGACTTGGGCATTCTCTATCTGTCTTTGGTCGGACTAAAATCCTAATGTTTGGTGGGCTTGCAAATAGCGGTCATCTAAAGTTAAGGTCAGGGGAGGCATACACTATAGACTTGGAGGATGAAGAACCAAGATGGAGAGAGCTTGAGTGTAGCTCGTTCACAGGCGCAGTTGTACCGCCTCCAAGACTGGACCACGTGGCTGTGAGCATGCCATGCGGTAGGGTCATCATCTTTGGAGGGTCTATTGCAGGGCTTCACTCTCCTTCACAACTGTTCCTTATAGATCCTGCAGAAGAGAAACCGTCATGGAGGATCCTGAATGTCCCAGGGAAACCACCCAAGTTAGCTTGGGGACATAGCACATGCGTTGTTGGAGGAACTAGAGTATTGGTCCTTGGTGGTCACACTGGTGAGGAATGGATACTCAATGAATTACATGAACTCTGCTTGGCTAGCCGCCAAGACTCGGATCTGTAAAGCTTCTCTTATCTTCCTCGAAGCCACTGTTCTCTCTTTCCTTCTTCATTTGGTTTGTGGTTTTGTGTATGTCACATTCCAAACTCTTACTAAATGTAGAAGAGATTATCAAGAGTTAGAAGAGTGTGTCGTGTGTACATAGTAAATTAGTGATTGTTGTGCGCTTTAGGTATTCATGTAATGTTAATGGTTTTGCTGTATGAAGATCCTTTTATAGTATACTTCCTTGTTACATGTCCATGCAGGATTTGATTTTTGATGTACCAAAAGAGAAAAGACAACGAGTTTGGACATATATCAACAAACCCAAAAGTAGAAATAATCACACAACACCCCAAGTAGAATGAAGAAACCGAACAAGTAAAGTACACAAACACCAATACAAAGCTAAAACCTATACAGCCAAACAAACTACTTCCATAGGACAGAAAATGTTATGCCAAAATGTCAAACATCTCTCCCTCCTCCCTTTTCGCTTCTTGTCATCGCTAAGCAGTGTAAGCCGATCTAAGTCAGAAAGCATACTCATCTTTTTCATCCTTAAGTTCTATGGTAATACAATAAATCACAGAGGATGTAAAGAAAGCAAGTGAAATAAGAAAGATATAAAGGTTAAAAAAAAGAGCTTAAAATCACACCAGCCTATAACAGTTTTACTTGTTTAAACTGATACGACCAAGAGAACTAGTCACATCTCCTCCCTCATCTCATTGTGTACTCCTTGTTAACCCACTTCGGCCAGCAGCTCTGCACAAATTCAGAAGACCAAGCTTAGTATGATTGCAAAAACGCAAATTTGATCGCCGAAAGGGACAAAGAGGTACACAACATTGTTGGATACCTTGCAGCAAGAATCTGGGCGGTGTTGGATGAGGGTTTGGTGTTTGAAGACCGTTTAGCTCTATTATCTTGATCTTTATCCACACGCATTGCAGCAACCTCTTTCTCCATTGCAGCTACTTCCCTTCTCATCTTCTTCGCTTCAACCTCCATTGCCTTTGTTAAAGTTTCAACCTTTTTTGCTAACATCTATAAGAAAATATCAAAACTTCCATTACAAACACGTCTTTTTAGCAACATTTTATATGGCACATTCAGTAATTTTTACCTCTATGGCATCATCCTTGTCTTTGAGGCTTTGATCCTTCTCATGCGAAGATTTTCTCAAGGCTACTACTTCCTTCTGTAGTAAATCATACAAAACCCCTGGGACATTGTCTTCAGTTGCTGGTGCAGGGAGTTCACTTGGTGGCTTCTCTTCTGAATCTTCTTTCCAGGTATTAGGTGACTCTGGTTCTTTGGTTTCATCACAAGTCTTGTTGAACGAATAATTTCCAGGTCCGTTTAAGAGTGCTTTGCCTCTATCCAATGATCTTGTGCCTCCATCAAATGACTTGGATGTTCCTTTAGCATTCTTCAATACCGAGATAGAATTAGAAGTAAAGGAATTTCTCATCGGAGTTTTCTTTGACAAAAAGCCATTTGATGCGAACTTTTGTAAATTATCTGATCCACCGATTGACTGCCTGCGAGACGGTCCATTACTCATGCTTCTTCCCTCAGGTGTGCTCCTTATGCTGATGCTTGAGGTGCCTCTCAGTGTCTCTTCAAGCACTTTAAGTCGTAGTTGAAACTTGTCCTAGAGATTGTATAAAGAAATAGTTTACTAATTAGTTCAGTTAAACAAGATCATAAATTCGACGATGACTAACGCATAAATAAGATAAATACTTTTAGTTGTGCTTCAGATTTTGCAGCTCGATCTGATATGGCAAGCTTATCCCGGAGTTGCTGCATTTCTCCCTGCAAGAAAAGAGTTAAGAGTTGAGAATGTAAGGTTGTGTGACTTTGTCACTGCAAAGAATCTGGATTCCAAGAATTTAGGA